AATATTTTTTCTGAGTCGTGAAAAAAAATTCTGAGTTTTTTTTGCGTTATTTTTGGATTTTGCCTCAATTACAAATTCAAGAAAAATCAAAGAAAATTTTTCTGAGTCGATATTCGAGTAGAAAATATTTTTTCTGAGTCGTGAAAAAAAATTTTGAGTTTTCTGTGTTATTTTTGAATTTTGTTTTAATTTAAAATTCGAGAAAAGTTAAAAAAAAAAATTCTGAGTCAATATTTGAGTAGAAAATATTTTTTCTGAGTCAGAAATTCTGATTTTTTCGCGTAATTTTTGGATTAAGCCTCTATTAAAAATTTGAGAAAAGGTAAAGAAAATTTTTCTGAGTCAGTATTCGAATAGAAAATATTTTTTCTGAATCGAAAATTCTAATGTTTTTGCGTTATTTTTCGATTTTGCCTCAAGTGAAAACTCAAGAAAAGTCAAAGAAAATTTTTCTGAGTCAGTATTCGAGCAGAAAAAAAAAATCTGTTTTTTTTCAATTTTTTGATTTCCTCCAATTCCCGGACGATTTCCTGGAAATTTAAATCCATTTTAACGGAATTTCAATATTTTCTAACCTCAAAAAAAACCACAATGAAAATAAACAATTTTAATAGTGGCGCCATCTACTAATCAATAGCCGAACTAAAAAAAAAATTAAAAATTACAGTTTTCTTTTTTAAAAAAAGCTTTGGCTTTTGTTTGATAGATGGCGCTAGTAATGTTATTTTATTTGGCGTGTCTAGAGCTAGGATCTAAGTACAAAATGATGACGTCATCGTAGATGCTTGCAGTTTTGAAAAATTTTCATTGTTGCAAATAGACGGCATTAATAGTGCGATTTTTTATTATTGGATTCAAGCAATAAAACGATGACGTCACCATAGATGCTTGCAATTTTGAAAAATATTTATTGTTTTCCAATAGGAATCGGAGCCCAGAGTTGCAAAGAAAATTGGGCCAATAAGGAGACGAGTTGCAAAGGATTTTTTATATAGGGTGAGTTGTAGATAATTTTTTGTACGTTACCTGTTATCAGTTCGGCACCCGAACAAGATACAGGGTGTCTCGAAAAAAAGGTGTGTCGTTTTTGTCTTTGTCTAACTCGCATGTTATTTCAATAGATGGCGCCACTAACTAGTCAAAGTACGCAAGCCATTCGGAAAATCAACAAAAGGCCCCAACAAGGTACCACCAGCTCACTATTTTGTCTTAATAATAATTAATTTGTATTTTGTTATTAATAAATAAATTATGTAGTTTTAATTACTTCTGGTTTTTTGAAAAACCCTAAAATCCCGACTTATTTCATTGAAAAAAATATTTACTACTAGCGTCATCTAGTAGACAGAAGCTGAAGCTTTTTTTTTTAAAAAAAATATTATATTTACAGGAATCTGCAATTTTTTACAGAAATTTGTATTTTTTCACAGAAATCTGTAATTTTTCACAGAAATCTGTAATTTTAACAAAATTTTCTGTAAATTTGATAATTTTTTCGATTTTCACCTCTTTGCATTTCTGTGTTCCTGATACAAAATCGGATTTTTAACAAAATTTTAAAAAAATTGAAAATTTTACCTCTTCATGTTTCTGTGTTCCTGATACAAAATCGGATTTTTAGGAAAATTTCAAAAATTTTATTTCTATCAGGAGAGCAGAAATGCGAAGAGGTATTTTTCATCTCTCCACGTTCCTGTGTTCCTAATACAAAATCAGATTTTTAGGAAAATTTTATGAAAAATTTGATTTTGAATTAGGAACACAGGAACGTGGAGAGATGAAAAATACCTCTTCGCATTTCTGCTCTCCTGATACAAATAAAATTGAAATTTTCCGAAAAATCCGATTTTGTATCAGGAACACAGAAACGCGAAGAGGTAAAATTGTCAAATTTTTTGAAATTTTCCTAAAAATCCGATTTTGTATCAGGAGCACAGAAACGCGAAGAGGTAAAAATTTTCCTAACAATTTTTTTTCTTTACAAAATGGCGAAAGCGCTCTGAAATTAAATAGAGGGGAAAATAAAACAAAAAATTTCAAAAATATTATTTATTTTCTTCCATAATTAACAACAATTAATAAATAAAAGGGCACTAGGAGTTGTCCTGAAGGTTGTAACATCACCTGAAACAAAGTTAGGGTTAATTTTTGGGGAAATTTCAACTTTGAAGCCCTATAACTAGGAAACTGGATAAGTCTGGAAATTCTGGATAAGGCCATTTTGTAGCAAATTTAATCCTCTTTCGAATGAAACTTGATTCATTAAAATCAGTCCAGAGTTATGACCAATTTAATGACGTCATGTCAGGCTGGAAAAGCCCCCCTATAGATTTCCTTTTTTATTTTTTTCCAGGCTTAGGAACAATCCTAGAGGAAAACACCAAATAGCTTTTCTGCTTGTTTTGACCTCCTTTATACACTGGAATTTTTATTTTTCAAAAATTCGGAAAATTTCGATTTTCCATTTTGAGGGGTATAGAAAAGGCCTGGAAAATCCTAGAAAAACTGGAAATTAAGAGGCAAAAAGTGGGTTCCGACATTTCTTTGGATGTCCTCTATGACGTCATCGAAGAAAATCCGGGAAATTTTGACTTTGATTTTTTGGCCGAAAAAAAAAGGAAGGTTTTAAGATTTTAAAATTTCCAAGTGGAATATCTTGGAAACGGTGAGTCCTAGAGGGAAAACTCACTAAGGTTTTTTTGTAGATCTCGACGAGCTCTACAATGTAGCCATGGACGGTTTTCCTCTAGGAGTTACCGTTACGGAGCTACGACTGGTTGAAGTTGAGATTTTTGTCATTTTCCAGTGTCTCCTGTGTTATAGGTATAGGCCCAAAAATCGAAGTCAAAATTTCGAAATTTCAAGATAGCCATTTTGTAGAGGGGATCCCAAAAAGTCCCACAACCAACTTTTTTTCCCTTAATTTTCCGATTTTCCAGGGCTTTTCCAGGTTTTTTTGAATTAAATGGAGCCTTTTGTAAATTAATTTTTTTCTGGAAAACTGGCAGAGGGAAAATTATGAAATTTTCTGGAGAGAAAGAGAAAAGTGAAGAGGTCATTATAGGAAAATTTCGAAATTTTCCCATGAAAAATCACTTCAGGAAAAATTCTGGAAAATTGACTTTTTTAAGCAAAATTAAGGAAAATTCATACTCTTACATTTCAATTTTTTCCTGGAAAAATGGCAAAGGGAAAAATTTGAAAATTTTCCAGGAAAAAGAGGAAAGTGAGGAGATCATTATAGGAAAATTTCAAAATTTTTCAGTGGAAAATCACTCCAGGAAAAATTCTGGAAAATTGACTTTTTTAAGCAAAATTAAGGAAAATTCACCATCTTACATTTTAATTTTTTCCTGGAAAAATGGCAAAGGGAAAAATTTGAAAATTTTCCAGGAAAAAGAGGAAAGTGAGGAGATCATTATAGGAAAATTTTGAAATTTTCCCATGAAAAATCACTTCAGGAAAAATTCTGGAAAATTGACTTTTTTAAGCAAAATTAAGGAAAATTCACCATCTTACATTTTAATTTTTTCCTGGAAAACTGGCAAAGGGAAAAATTTGAAAATTTTCCAGGAAAAAGAAGAAAGTGAGGAGATCATTATAGGAAAATTTCAAAATTTTTCAGTGGAAAATCACTCCAGGAAAAATTCTGGAAAATTGACTTTTTTAAGCAAAATTAAGGAAAATTCACCATCTTACATTTTAATTTTTTCCTGGAAAAATGGCATAGGGAAAAATTTGAAAATTTTCCAGGAAAAAGAGGAAAGTGAGGAGATCATTATAGGAAAATTTCGAAATTTTCCCATGAAAAATCACTTCAGGAAAAATTCTGGAAAATTGACTTTTTTAAGCAAAATTAAGGAAAATTCACCATCTTACATTTTAATTTTTTCCTGGAAAACTGGTGAAGGGAAAAGTTTGAAAATTTTCCAGGAGAAAGAGGAAAGTGAGGAGATCATTATAGGAAAATTTCAAAATTTTTCAGTGGAAAATCACTCCAGGAAAAATTCTGGAAAATTGATTTTTTTAAGCAAAATTAAGGAAAATTCACCATCTTACATTTTAATTTTTTCCTGGAAAAATGGCAAAGGGAAAAATTTGAAAATTTTCCAGGAAAAAGAGGAAAGTGAGGAGATCATTATAGGAAAATTTCGAAATTTTCCCATGAAAAATCACTCCAGGAAAAATTCTGGAAAATTGACTTTTTTAAGCAAAATTAAGGAAAATTCACCATCTTACATTTTAATTTTTTCCTGGAAAAATGGCAAAGGGAAAAATTTGAAAATTTTCCAGGAAAAAGAGGAAAGTGAGGAGATCATTATAGGAAAATTTCAAAATTTTTCAGTGGAAAATCACTCCAGGAAAAATTCTGGAAAATTGACTTTTTTAAGCAAAATTAAGGAAAATTCACCATCTTACATTTTAATTTTTTCCTGGAAAACTGGCAAAGGGAAAAATTTGAAAATTTTCCAGGAAAAAGAGGAAAGTGAGGAGATCATTATAGGAAAATTTCAAAATTTTCCAATGAAAAATGACTCCAGAAAAAGTTCTGGAAAATTGACTTTTTTAAGCAAAATTAAGGAAAATTCATTCTCTTACATTTTAATTTTTTCCTGGAAAAATGGCAAAGGGAAAAATTTGAAAATTTTCCAGGAAAAAGAGGAAAGTGAGAAGATCATTATAGGAAAATTTCAAAATTTTCCAATGAAAAATGACTCCAGAAAAAGTTCTGGAAAATTGACTTTTTTAAGCAAAATTAAGGAAAATTCACCCTCTTACATTTAAATTTTTTCCTGGAAAAATGGCAAAGGGAAAAATTTGAAAATTTTCCAGGAGAAAGAGGAAAGTGAGGAGATCATTAAGGCAATTAAATTAATCAAGAAAATCGTTAAATAATTAATAAAAATGTTTAAATTTCCAAAGAAAACCGTCAAAGCAAATTACAAATTCCTGTAATATGAAACAAACTCACCAGCGCTATCTGTCATCGAGCGACAAAATTATAAAATATTAATTATTTCCTCTTGCAGGGGAGAAGTTTCCAAATTAGATTCACTATTAAAGAAAAAATCCTAATTAATTAAATTTAATTAAATTATTTAATCAATTACCTGTCCAATGAGGAAGGCTCATGACTGAACATCTCAGTTGGAACAGTCAAAGGAGGCCTTTCCGGTACCAAATCCAGAAAACTTTGAGCTTGCAAATGTCTTTCCACTTCCTCAGGGGTCATGTGACCATCCGCTTTCTTTTTAGGGGGTTTTTTAATTAGTTTTCTCCTATAAATTATAATAAATGACGTCATCAAAAAAATGGTAATATCCTTGCTTGTTACCTTTTTGCCTGAGGAGGCACCGGTTCTTCTTCAGAAGAAGACTCAGTAGGATCAGATTCTGAGGTCGAGTGTTCGACTTTTTCTTTTTCCAGGAGTTTATCGAGCAGAAATGAGCGGTCCCTGGTAACTTTGAGCATAAGTTTTTGGTTTTTTCTGAGTGCCAATTTGAAACACTCATTTTCCTATAAGAGGAAAATTTAAGGCCAGGTTTTTCAATATCCAAGGGTTAAGCATATAACTACATTGCAACTTTTCACATTTACCCTGTAGTCAACAATAAACCGGCCCTTAGATTTGTATTTTACTTACGTAAATTAGGCTGTGAAGTTTGCCCTTTAGGGCCTTGTAGGCCTCCTTGTATTTGGACTCTTCTGCCATGGGCTTTGTTTACCAAAACAAATAGAAAAAGAATGGGGTTATGTTGAGTTTGCGTATAAGGCAAGGACATTACAATTGATGACGTCACTAACGGGACTAATCGAATAATGAAAATTTAAACAAATCATTTATGGGGTTTAATTTACATGTTAAGTTCGCAAAATTTCTTGGTTAAGCAAGGATATTACAATTGATGACATCATTAGAAGAAAAATCAAAATTTATCCATGATATTGAATTTACATGCTATGTTTGCAAAATTTCTTGGTTAAGCAAGGATATTACAATTGATGACGTCATTAGTTTTTAATTATTTATTATCAAGGTTATATGAAACGAAATTGCCTGATAACTTTTATGACGTCATCTACATAATGCAAATATCTATAAGACACCTCAGATGCGTCATCACCAGACTAAAATGAACTTTAAAAACCTTGCAAAATCTTTCAATTAATTAAGCAGGAATATTACCTTGATGACGTCATTGAAAGTTCAATTTAAAAAAAAATAGTCAAATTGTACTTATTTTATTAATAGTGGGCCAAGAATATTGCCTTGATGACGTCATTGAGAGACCTATCAGAATTTTTTTTTTTTTTTTGTGCTAGGTTTCTTAGGGAGGGGCTTATGAAGATTTGCATTATAATGAAGCACCTCAAATGACGTCATAAAACGGCAACCTACCTTTTTCAAACAACCTTGAAAGAAATTACACTTATTTTAGTAGTTAACCAAGGCTATTGCCTTGATGACGTCATTGAGAGACCTGTTGTTTTTGTGCAAGATTTTTAAAGTTAATGGAGATTTGTATTATGACAAGGCACCATATATGACGTCATAACATAATCAGATAAATAATAGCCTTGGTTTCTGTGCTGTTGCTATTTCTTTTTGAATTTCGAATTACTCTGACTGTTCTAATTCTGTCCTATTTGCACTGACTCTTGCTCCATTTGCACTAAACTCTATTTAAATTACTCTGAAGTGTTCCAATTATTCTAATTATATTACGTTTGCATTAGTTCTGTTTGAATTTCGAATTACTCTGACTGTTCCAATTGTTCTTATTCTGTTCTATTTGCAATTACTCTTTAGTGTTCCAATTGCTCTAATCATGTTCCAGATGAATTATTTCTGTTTGAATTTCGCATTACTCTGACTGTTTCAGTTGTTCTGATTCTGTTCTATTTGCACTAACTCTATTTGTCCAAAATGTCGCGAATTCGCAACATTTCTGAAAAAAATCGAGCTGTATGTCGTTTTCTAGGTTTTCGAGGTCAAGGATTCCGAATTTGACATTAGTTTTTGTCCATCTCGATTTTTTTTCTGTAAAAATTCAAACTAGACAAAAAGTAACATTAAATTCGGAATCCTCGACTTCGAAAACCTAGAAAACGACATACGACTCGATTTTTTCCGAAATTCGCAACATTTCGGAAATGTTGCGAATTTCGGAAAAAATCGAGTTGCATGTCGTTTTCGAGGTTTTCGGGGTCAAGGATTCCGAATTTGACATTAGTTTTTGTCTATCTCAGTTTTTTTTCTATAAAAATTCAAGCTAGACAAAAACCAACAATAAATTCGGAGTCCTTGACCTCAAAAACCTAGAAAACGACATACGACTCGATTTTTTCTGAAATTCGCAACATTTCGGAAATGTTGCGAATTCGGAAAAAATCGAGTTGTATGTCGTTTTCTAAGTTTTCGAGGTCGAGAATTCCGAATTTAATGTTATTTTTTGTCTAGTTTGAATTTTTAAAGATAAAAAATCGAGATAGATAAAATCTAATGTCAAATTCGGAATCCTTGACTTTGATAACCTATAAAACGACATACAACTCGATTTTTTTCCGAAATTCGCAACATTTCCGAAATGTTGCGAATCTCGGAAAAAATCGAGTTATATGTCGTTTTATAGGTTTTCGAGGTCAAGGATTCCGAATTTAATGTTATTTTTTATCTAGTTTGAATTTTTACAGAAAAAAAAATCGAGATAGACAAAAGCTAATGTCAAATTCGAAATCTTTGACCTCGAAAACCTATAAAACGACATACAACTCGATTTTTTCCGAAATTCGCAACATTTCGGAAATGTTGCGAATTTCGGAAAAAATCGAGTTATATATGGTTTTATAGGTTTTCAAGGTCAAGGATTCCGAATTTGAAATTAGTTTTTGTCTATCTCGATTTTTTTGTTTGTAAAAATTTAAGCTAGAAAAAAAATAACATTAAATTCGGAATCCTCGACCTCGAAAACCTATAAAACGACATACAACTCGATTTTTTTCCGAAATTCGCAATATTTCCGAAATATTGCGAATTCCGAAATTCAATTAAAATGAAAAAATTCATCAAATTATTGCTTATTTGAGTCAAATTGAGATTTTATTTCAGTCCTCAGCTGATGACGTCACCATCAGTACCACATTAAAATACATTTTAATAATTTACTCAGAAACTACTCAAGGCACAAAAATGAGATTTTGAAAAAAAAAATTCGAATACTTGAGGCAAAACATGAGTAGTTTAATTCTCACTCCGTCACCTGTCATTCAAATGTCAGTCACCTGTCAAAATCATCTGTCAATTTCAACTACTCGATCAAACCTACTTCAATTGCTCCAAGTTTCTTGGCCTCAATGCCCCATTTTTCTTTAAAAAAAAAAAAGAAAGAAGCATCTATGATGACGTCATCATTGTTTGAATCCTGAAATAATATCGAGGATAATGTAAAAAGTGAAGTGAGGCTACTAGCGACATCTATTAAACAATGGCCAAAGTTATTCGTTATTTCGAATAGCGCCATCTATCAAACGACAAGCGAAAAATTTCGGAATTATTACAGGAATCTGTAATTATTAAATATGGGGTTTTTTTGCGTAGCGCCATCTAATAAACAATACATGAAACCATTTGTAAATATGAAGAAATCTGTAAAATATTGATTTTTATTTCGCGTCAAACAAACGATGACGTTACTATTTAGTAGAGCGCCATCTATCAATGAGAAGCCCAAGTTTTTTAGGAATTGAGTAAATTAATTTTTTTCAGGAAAACTGGCAGAGAGAAAATTGGAAAATTTTTACAGGACAAAGAGGAAGGTTGGGAGGTTATTGTTGGAAAATTTCAAAATTTTCCAGTGGAAAATTAATCCAGGAAAAATTCTGGAAAATTGACTTTTTTAAGTAAAATTCACTCTCTTACATTTTAATTTTTTTCTGGAAAACTGGCAAACGGAAAATTTTGAAAATTTTTCAGGAGAAAGAGGAAAGTGAGGAAATCTTTATAAAAAAAATTCAAAATTTTCCAGTGAAAAACAACTCTAGAAAAAATTCTAGAAAATTGACTTTTATAAGCAAAATTTAGGAAAATTCAGTCTTTTACATTTTAATTTTTTTCTTGAAAACTGGCAAAGGGAAAATTTTGGAAATTTTCCAGGAGAAAGAGAAAAGTGAGGAGATCATTATAGGAAAATTTCAAAATTTTTCAGTGAAAAATCACTCCAGAAAAAATTTTTGAAAATTGATTTTTATAAGGAAAATTCATTCTTTTACATTTTATTTTTTTTCTGGAAAACTGACAAAGACAAAATTTTGAAATTTTCTGAAAAAATAGAGGAAAGTTAGGAGCTCATCATACTAAGATTTTAAAATTTTCCAGTGAAAAATCACTTCACAAAAAATTCTGAAAATTTAGGAAAATCAAACTTCAAAAATTTGGAAAAAATTATGGAATTTGGAATTTTCGAAGTTGACATGACCTCATTAAATCTGGACACAACTCTGGAACGCCTGGACCGATTTCAATGAATCATATTTCATTCGAAAGAAAATTAAATTACCTATAAAATGACTTTATTTTTAATATCAATACTTATTACCGTTCCAGAATTATTGAGCCTTAAACTTAAAATTTCCAGAAAAACTCAAAAAACTCAAAAACCGTAAGTTGTAGAGGAAAAACTCAAAAAGCAATTTTGTAGTACTCATCAGGATCTACAGCTTTCATATGAAAAAATTTTCTCTACGACTCATAGTTTCCAAGTTATGACTATTTGAAATGTCAAAATCATGAAGTTTTGAGGCAAATTCAACCAAAAAAAATTACAAAGTGACACCATTTCCCAGCTGACATACTTATCTGTCAAAAAAAAAAAATAATAATTTTTTTTTCAAAAACATGCATTCCTAGCTCAAACAATAGAGAAAACGATGCCTACAACAAACGAAATTTTTCCAGAAATTTCCAGAAAAAACAACAACGTACGTTTACACGGTAAGAATTTATTGAATCTTTACATTTTGCTCACTTTTTCCGAAAACTAACATTCTTCAATTGCCTGCACAAACTTTTGAACGAGTACAATTCCCTGAAACAGTCCTTTGCAATTTCGCTCATAAAAGTACTGACATACGGACTAGCAATGAGACGGGCAATTTCTGAGGCCATACACGTTGGTTCAGGTTCCACCAAAATCCCAGTGAGTCTATTTTTAATAATCTTTGTTACAATTCCTCTATTGGTAGCCACTATTGACTTTCCAAGGCATAAAACCTTCAAATATAAATCAGCCTGGATATTTCTGGCACAGCAAATTACTACTGAAGCATTTTGGATCAAAGACTTTTCATGTATTGTAGGTAGAGTCTTCAAAATAGTCATCTGTGAACCACATTTTCTGGTTTTAGCTGAATTAACCACTTGATCATATTGTAAAAAATTTGAAATGTTTTAGAATGTTCCAAAAAATTCTCAG